CAGGGGGGTCCCACGCTCAGAGGTCCCATCCCAGGGGGTTGCACACCCGGGGGGGTTCCTATCCCAGGAGGAGATCCCAGGGGGGTCCCACGCTCAGAGGTCCCATCCCAGGGGGTTGCACACCCGGGGGGGTTCCTATCCCAGGAGGAGATCCCAGGGGGGTCCCACGCTCAGAGGTCCCATCCCAGGGGGTTGCACACCCGGGGGGGTTCCTATCCCAGGAGGAGATCCCAGGGGGTTCCTACACCGGGGGGTCCCATCCCAGGGGTTGCACACCCGAGGGGGTTCCTATCCCAGGAGGAGATCTCGGGGGGGGGTCCCACACTCAGGGGTCCCGTCCCAGGGGGTTGCACACTCGGGGGGGTTCCTATCCCAGGAGGAGATCCCAGGGGGGTCCCACACCCGAGGGTCCCATCCCAGGGGATCCCACAGCAAGGACAGGGCTGGGGCTCCCCAGCCCCACTCCCGCCCGTCTCTGGGAGCTGGGGGTGACCCCGCAGTGTCCCCCCCGCCCCGGCACAGGCGGTGATGGGGGTGCAGGTGGTGGTGACCCTGCTGGCCGCCAGCCTCATGCAGAAGATGGCCCCTCACTGCTCCTTCGCCCGCTGGCTGCTCTGCAACGGCAGGTACGGGCTCTGCCCCTCCCTGCTCCACCTCGGGGGGCCTTTGGGGACACCCGGTGACGCCCCCTCACCCCACCCCCGTGCTCCCTTCCAGCCTGTACCGGTACAAACACCCCTCGGACGAGGAGCTCTGCGCCCTGGCTGGGAAGCAGCGCCCCAAGGCCAAGAGGGACAGGTGAGGAGGGGCTGGAAAGGATCAGGGAGTGGGTTTGGGGTTGATGGGACTCCCCCCGCCGTGCTGGGGAGCTGCGGCAGCAGCAGCAGCAGCAGCACACGGGCTCGGGGCTGCTGGCAAGGACGCTGTGACATGAGGGGACAAACTCCTGGCTGCCCGTGCAGGAGGGTGAACGGGGGGCTGGAAAGGATCGGGGCGTGGGTTTGGGTTTGGGGTTGATGGGACTCCCCCCCGCCGTGCTGGGGAGCTGCAGCAGCAGCACACGGGCTCGGGGCTGCTGACCAGGAGCAGCCCGTGGTACACGAGGACAAACTCCTGGCTCCCCGTGCAGGAGGGTGAACGGGGTGCTGGAGGACAAGCCCCTCTCCGTGCCCCGGGACATCGACCTGCGCCTGGACACCACCCCCATCACCGCCGTGGATGCCCTGGGTAACCCCCCCTCCCCTGCTGCTCCCCCCGCCCTGCCCTGGGCTCAGGGCACCCCCCGAGGGTCCCCCCGGGGCGGTGACGTGTCCCCGTGCCCCCCCAGTGCTGAGGTACTTCCTGGAGTACCAGTGGTTCGTGGACTTCGCCGTGTACTCCACCGCCGTGTACGTCTTCACCGAGGGCTACTACAGCCTGGCCAGCCCCCCCCGGGAGACCAACCTGGGGGTGCTCTGGTGCCTGCTCACCGTCCTCTTCTCCGTGTATCCCTCTGCTGCTTTCTGGTCCCATTGCCACCACCCATTCACTGGGGGTCCAGCCTGGAACCCCTCACCCCACAGAGCCGGAAATCTTCATTTTCTGGGTTTATAAAGGTTTATAAACCCCCCGGTGATGAGCTGGGAAGGCGCCTCCCGAGCCCTTCCCCGCAGAGAAGGTGCTGGTGGCCTGGTGGTGTGGGTGATTCACGGGTGCTGGTGAGCAGGGGGGGGTGTCCCCTCGGTGTTGGGGGGTCCCCTGAAGGGGCTGTTTTCCTTGACGGGCTCCCCCGGCCCCCAGGAAGGTGTTTTTCATGGTGATGCGCCACTATTTCCGCTCGGAGGAGGGGGGGGAGCGCTCCGTGTGCCTCACCTTCGCCTTCTTCTTCCTCCTCCTGGCCATGGTGGCCCTGGTGGTCCGGGAGGAGCACCTGGAGTTCGGCCTCGAGGCCGGTGGGTAGGGGGGGACGAGGGGAGGCGGGTGGGGGGTGGTCCTGGAGGGGCTGCGGGCACCCCACTCGTGGGGGTCACATCCCACTCTTGGGGGGTCACATCCCACTCTTGGGGGTCACATCTCATTCATG